GGGGGCCACAGTTACTGAAAGCCAAGAGCTCAGTGGCCGGACATCCAACAGTTATTGTCATTAAGTAAGTTTGTTTTATGGTTTAAAATCTAGTTTTATTTCAAAATGAACCCACTGATGGCCAAACTGAGTTTAACAGTGGGCCTGATTTGGTCCCCGAGCTACTATTTTGATTATTTCATATGTATTTTTTTTTTCTATACAATTAGAAAATGCTACTGGATGTCTTCAGTTTCCCCCTGGAATTAATTAATTATAAAAGTAAGTACGTAAGTAAGCAAGTACCATATTTTTCGGACTATAAAGGAACACTAAGCAAAACAAGTTTATTTTGACTATGGCTTTAACAGACTATCAAGTAATTGACAGGTCGATTCCTAGGACATCTCTCGAGTTATTAAATTTCACGTTGAGTTTTCGTAGTGACGTCATTACGTCGCCGTTACGTCACTACGTCACATGTCACATGATCCGCACTGGACGCAGGCTACAAAATGGATTTCTCCAAGCAGACAGATGAAGCGGAGCAGGCCCAGTCTTGGCGAACAGGTAGAAATGCATCAAAGGATTGGAAATATTTCACTAAAGATGAATCTTCCGGTTCAACCACCGTAAGGAAACAGAAAATGAATCAACTTCCTCACTTTTTGGAGCTTGTTGCGAACCAGTGTTACACCATATTCTGTGACCACCGTATATTGTGACCATAGGGGGCGGTGTTGCATGTTGCAGGTCACAGAATATGGTGCAACACCGGGTCCAATGACCGAACCAGAACCAGCTTCCTCTGACTTTGTTTCACAAACTAAAAGCAAAAAATATTCATCTCTAAACCTATTAAAAAAAAACTACAAACATATTAATCTCTAAAACTAAACTTAATGCGCAGCACAGCTGGCGGTGGTGCGGGGTGGTCGTCCGCCCCTGTTTTTAGTTTCGTTTTTGACGTGCCACACGTTTCTTTCAGTTTTGCAGTTTAATAATAATAACTAATAGTTTAGTTTTTCCTGTGACTTATTTGCAGTATGATAAATGGTAGGAGCATAATATACGCTCCCAATGTTTTGACATTTTTGCAGTTTTATTTATTTATTTTTGCATCTTGAGATCCTATGACGTCCTCAACTACTCGAGTTTTATTATTTTAATATCGAGTTTTAAAATTATGTAATCGTTCAACCCCTAATTTTAGCATTTTTTTGAGCGCCGTGCACCACATAAAATCGGTTCGAGGTCAATAAGCACAACCAGAATTAATACATAAGGCGCACCTGATTATAAGGCTCACTGTCGATTTTTGAGAAAATTAAGTGCACCTTATAGTCCGAAAAATACGGTAATTAAGCATGCATCTATCAAATATGTGTGTATTTGTGTACCTTCCCAAATCTACACTTACAACACCTTTTAATTTTTATACAAATAGTATTAAATGCACACCTCGGTGTGGTTTTGTTTCCCATAGTCAGAAATGTTGATTTTAATGCGGCTATTTAAAAACTGACAGCAGAACCAATCTGTGACGTCATTTCCGGCTGTAACCAGAGGCCGAAGGGCCGCAACAGAACTAGAGCACAAACAGTTTTAAAGGAGTTTTTCTTAGTTTTCTGTCGTTTCATGAGAAAAGTCCCCCAGCAGAGTTGTCTGTAACATGTTACAAGCAGATTCTTGAGTTTAACCTCCGACTCTGAGGCTCTGAAGGAGCCGGGAGAACTTTCCCGTGCCCGCGGAGAACTTCTGGCCGGACACTCACCCCGCTCTCCCGCCGCTTTGCTGCCCTCCTCCTCCCGGCTGACCTGGGTGATCACTGAGGACGGGTTGTCCATCACATCCAGAAAAAAAAAAGTGCCGAAGTCAAACTTTAAAAGCTGCGGGCGGCTCGACGTCTTCTTCTCGGGGCTGCATGAACTTCTGAACAACACGCACGACGAGCGAACCGGAAAGCGCCGTTTCACAGCGCGTCCATGTTCTGCGCGTCGTCTCCCACTCTGTCCCGGTCCGCTCGGAAAGAAAGCCGCTTGGAGGGCGACACTTCTGAAACATTTGTTAAGGAGCTGACAACTTTGATTCAATATGGTGCTCAGCTCCGCTCGCAACTTTCGAGATCCAAACACGGAGGTTTCAAGGCTGCCCCTTTCCGTTTAAAGAGGCGCGGAGAGGGGCGACGGCCGCGAGCCACGCTCCGCCTCGACACGACGACACATTGCACGACGGTCCCTTAACGGAGCTTTGACCAAAGTTGCTCTAAAGTTGCGCCGCACTCATTTCAACGCAAATACTTCATGAACACCGCTAAAACAAACTTATTTCTTCACATACGCTGTTACCCAGCTCTACGACTCGGTCCGAACGTCGAATATGTCGTTTTACGACGAGCTACGTAAGTTACGTAAACTGCAAATGCAGACTCAGCCAACGCTGGTGCTTTTTGGCGTAAACTATGTGTAAATCTTTGCTGTTTAAAACTAAATCGAGCGGGGTTTTTTTTAACGTAGCAGAAAGAAACGCCCAGTTCGGGTCCCTTGAAACTGCCAAGGCTTTTAGGGAGTGTCGCACAAAAGCAGCGTAGAGCTCCTTCAGTAGCTCAGTCCAGACCTCATTGCTTCATAAATAAAATTAGACTTTGTTTACAGTACGTTATCAGAAATAAATTTAGATTTTTATACATTTTATTTGAACAAGTAAACACCGTGTTTTGGTTTCGTTTCACAATAAAGCTCTTATTCTGAGTGACTACTTGTGGACTTCAGAAGGAACAAAAACATCTACACCCCCCTGAACATAAGAGGATATGGGTGGAAGTGGTCTCCAG